CCTAAATATAAGACCATAAACTATAAAACTCTTAGAGGAAAACATAGGCAGAACATTTGATGACATAAATCAAAGCAATATCCTCAATGACCCACCTCCAAGAGTAGCGGAAATAAAAACGAAAGTAATCAAGTGGGACCTGATTAAACCAAAAGCTTTTGCACAGCAAAGGAAACTGTAAGCAAGGTGAAAAGACAACTCTCAGAATGAGAGAAACCAATAGCAAATGAAACAACTGACAAGGATTAATTTCCAAAATATACAAGCGGCTCATACAACTCAATACCAGAGAAACAAACAACCCAATCAAAAAGTGGGAAAAAGACCTAAACAGACATTTCTCCAAAGAAGACACAGATGGCTAACAAACACATGAAAAGATGCTCAACATTGCTCATTATTAGAGAGATGTAAATCAAAACTACAATGAGATATAACCTCACACTTGTCAGAATGGCCATCATCAAAAAGCCTACAGCCTACAAACAATAAATGCTGGAGAAGGTGTGGATAAAAGGGAACACTCTTGTACTGTTGGTGGGAATGTTTATTGATACAGCCACCATGGAAGATGGTATGGAGATTCCTTTAAAAATCTATGATTAAAACCACCATATAACCCAGCAATCCCACTCCTAGGCATATAACCTGAGGAAACCAAAATGGAAAAAGACACATGTATCCCATTGTTCATTGCAGCACTATTTACAATAGCTAGAACATGGAAGCAACCTAGATGTCCATCTACAGATGAATGGATAAAGAAGTTGTGGCACATATACACGATGGAATATTACTCAGCCATAAAAAACAATGCATTTGAGTCAGTTCTAATGAGGTGGATGAACCTAGAACCTATTATACAGAGTGAAGGTGTGGAGTAAGTCAGAAGAGAAAGATAAATATTGTATTCTAACACATATACGTGGAATGTAGAAAACTGGCACTGAGGAATTTATTTACAGGGCAGCAGTGGAGAAACAGACAGCAGACTCATGGACGTGGGGAGAGGGGAGGAGAGGGTGAGATGTATGAAGAGAGTAACATGGAAACTTACATCACCATGTATAAAATAGTGAATGGGAAGTTGCTGTATGGCTCAGGAAACTCAAACACGGGTTCTCTGTCAACCTAGAGGGGTAGGATGGGGAGAGAGATGGGAGAGGGGTTCAAAATGGAGGGGACATACATATACCTATGGCTGATTTATGTTGAGGTTTGACAAAACAACGAAATTCTGTAAAGCAATTATCCTTCAATAAAAAGTAAATTTTAAAAAAACTTTTAAAAAGTCATAAATTATTTATCTAGACAAAAATTCGTAGGTTTTCTAAAATACATAAGACATATTTATATGTCTGTATACAAAAGCTTTTCCACTATGCTTGATAAAGGCTTGAGAAAGAACATAAAAAAAGACAAGATGGAGAAATTGGAAAAAACATAAACTAAATGAAATGGGAGCACTGGATATGAAATAGAAAATAGTGAAACAAACTAGATAAAAGTAAAAGGTCATCATGTAATCCAGTTGTTTTTAAACATGACTGCTCTTTAGAGCTCTGAACGGAAAAAAGAAAAAAAGCAGTCATGGGATTTTTGTTTTTCAAAAATTAAGATAATTCTGATATGCATCTGGATTTTAAAAAATGATTGCAAGTTTTTCTGTTAAATCCTAGTTTTAGATATATAGAGTTCTATTATTTTTCTGTTGACCAATCATGATACAGTTGTATTGTTACTAAAAGTTACATAATCACAATAGTAAAAGATGTTTATCATTTTCCACAATCAATAGCCAGATAAAAAAGATAATTACAATTGTAATCCATAATGGGAGCATGATTAACTTAACAGTATAAAATAATTACATACAATTTAGGGGGTCAAGCAGAGTGATGTGGTAAGTGGAAGTGCATATATGCACATGTTTTCATCCATCCAGCTAGTCTATGTCTTTTGGTTGGTGCATTTAATCCATTTACATTTAAGGTAATTATTGATAAATGGCAACTCACTCCAGTATTCTTGCCTGAAAAATTCCATGGACAGAGGAGACTGGGGGGCTACCGTCCATGGGGTCACAGAGAGTTGAACATGACTGAGCAACTTCACTTTCACTTTCATGATCCTACTACCATTTTATTAATTGTTTTGGGTTTATTTTCTGTAGGTCTTTTCCTTCTCTTCTGTTTCTTGCCTAGAGAAGTTCCTTTGCATTTGTTGTAAAGCTAGTTTGGTGGTGCTGAATTCTCTTAGCTTTTGCTTGTCTGGAAAGCCTTTGATTTCTCCATCAAATCTGAATGAGAGTCTTGCTAGGTAGAATATTCTTGGTTGTAGGTTCTTCCCTTTCATCACTTTAAATATATTATGTCATTCCCTTCTGGCTTGTAGAGTTTCCGTTGAGAAATCAGCTGATAGTCTGATGGGAGTTCCCTTGTATGTTATTTGTTATTTTCCCCTTGTTGCTTTTAATATTTTATCTCTGTCTTTAATTTTTGTCAGAATACCATGTGTCTTGATGCTACTTGGGTTTATCCTGCCTAGGACTCTCTGTTCTTCCTGAACTTGGCTGACTGTTTCCTTTCCCATGTTAGGGAAGTTTTTAGCTATTACCTCTTAAGATATTTTCTCAGGTCCTTTGTATCTCTCTCTCTCTCTCCTCCTTCTGGGACCCCTATAATATGAATGTTTGTGCATTTAATGTTATCCCAGAGGTCTCTTAGGCTGTCTTCATTTCTTTTCATTGTTTTTTCTATATTCTTCTCTGTGGCAATGATTTCCATTCTTTCATCCAGGTCATTTATCCATTTTTCTGCCTCAGTTATTCTACTATTGATTCCTATTCTAATGTATTGTTCATCTCTGTTTGTTCTTTAGTTCTTGTAGGTCTTTGGTAGACACATTTCTTGCATCTTCTCCATTATTTTTCCAAGATCCTGGATTATCTTCACTATCATAATTCTGGATTCTTTTTCTGGAAGCTTGCCTATTTCCACTTAATTTAGGGGTTTTATCTTGCNGGTTTGTTCCAGCATCCTCCTGTCGATGGTTGTTCAACAGCTAGTTGCAATTTTGGAGCTCTCACAAGAGGAAATGATTGCACATCTTTCTACTCTAACATATTGAATTGGAAGTCCAGACTTCATGTTCTTAACTACAACATTAGATTGTCTTTCACACACACAAAAAAAAAGTGCAACAGAAAATTTCCAGGAGCAAAAACCCTTGTCTGGGATCAAGTCTTTAAGAATTTTTGTTGTTTGATTTAATTTTTTCTTTTACTCCCCTAATTCCACACATTCTCTAGAAGTTCCTTTGTCTGAGAACTTTATTCTATCACAGAGGTATGAGGAAATGCAGGAGTGACAGCTAGATGTCTTTCAATATCTATTTTTCCTTTTTTAATAGTAGGAAAACCCCTGTTAGTGAAATAGCTCATACAGTTTCTTTAAATGTCCTTAAAATAAGGGGGGAGCACCCTTCTTTGTTCTTTCTTCCTTCCTGATAGTTGGCATTTGGAGTGATAGATATAGCTTGAACATCCATTTTGCACCCTGAGAAGGAGCCATGTGCTGTCATGGAAGAACAAATTGGAAGATGTCTGGGTTCTAATGACATTGGGGAGTAGCATGCCACATAATTTGTTTATACCTTTTGGGGGGCAAATTTTTGTTGGCAAAAGCAAAAATGAACTTGTCTAATTTCAGCAACTGCTGTTCTAAGTATTCCATCATTTTTGATTGAGGCTAACTCTTTAAAACGCCATATGAGAGGTGAGAATGGCAAGGGGGAGGCATTTGTATGTCTAACTCATTAGTCAAGGATTGTATTTTTTCATATACTTAACCCATGCCTCTAATAATTCTCAAGCTACTTCACTGGCATACCACAGTTTTAAAAACACATTCATATCTATTATCTAATTTGATATTTTCAGCATCTATTAGTTGGCTAGGGCAGAGAATATGGTACCTTTTAGAGGTAAGAAAATTAAACATTGAATAGTGTAATAAATACTAAGTGTAATAGTGTAATAAATACTAAGCTAATTCATGGGAAAGAAAGGGTGAAGCTCCACTCTTCTACACCAAATCCAGTGCATCTCCCTAGATAATAAACTTTTGAAAGATCTATCCATTGTTGGGGCTCCCCTGATAGCTCAGTTGGTAAAGAATCCGCCTGCAATGCAGGAGATCCTGGTTCTATTCCTGGGTAGGGAAGATCCCCTGGAGAAGGGATAGGCTACCCACTCCAGTATTCTTGGGCTTCCCTTGTGGCTCAGCTGGTAAAGAATCTGCCTGCAATGTGGGAGATTTTTCTGTAGAATCGTGGGGTAGGAGACATTTGAGGGAGCTTCTGGATCTTGACTATTTTATTTACCATTCCAGCAAAAGGGTGAACCATGGATGACATTAACAAGACTGAGGCTGGGAATGAGGAGACAGGAAGAAGGGAAAATAATTCATGGATTAAACGCAACTTCAACTATGAATGCTATATGACTTTCCTTAATGGCTGCTACAGCTGCAAGTGGGAAGCCCAACAGAAGAAAAAACCCAGACGTCCACTCTGCTGCTGTTCTTTGGTACAGAGTGATGGGAAGGAGATGGGCCATATTTTCTTAGATATGGGGAACATGGACCTTGAAAGAAGTGCTTTAATTGTGTGTTTATCTGTGTGTGTATGCCTATGCAGACAGTCATGCCTCTTGTGTAATGTGTCAAAACTATTTATAAGGTGAAAGGTGATCAGAATTGGATAGCTAAAGAAAAGAAGATGGCAAAAGAAGTGGTATCAGAGGAGGAGTCAAAGTGCTTAGTATAAAGTGTATTTTAAGTAGAGCAGAGGATATGGATGGAGAAGTGATGGGAAGTGAAGCTAGAGACGGAGGCAGGACCGATGTTGTGTGGTTTTAAGAATTTTATTTCTACCATGTAGGGAGTTAAGAGTCCCTACAGATTTTAAGATACCAAGGAGAACAGTAGTGTGTTCAGTGAAAAATGAATTTCCATTGTTTAATTTATACTTATTAGGTGATAAATGGTAAGTGATTGGGTTAGAGAATGTTTTAACCAGATTGTGTAGTAACTTTATGTCCAACTAAAATGTTTGAACTTTTTCCTGGAAACGGTGTGGAGGCTTTGAACATTTTCAAATGAGTGACAACAGTGAAAATCAAAATAAGGAAATGTATTTATTCATCATTTATTGAATGTGTGCCATAGTGAATAAGACCACTAAGGCCTCTGGCCCTCCTTCATGTCACAGTCTACTGGGATGAGTTAGGTAATAAACAGTAATGAAGAAACATGGTTTCAGCTAGAGATAAGAGCTTTGAAGACAATGCATAGGAAAATGTGTTAGGTAGATGGAAACATGGTTAGAGAAGACTGCTGTGAAACAGTGTCACGTGAGCAGTCTCTTAAGTGAAGACATAGGACCACCCAGGTATATGTCTGGGGAAAAAATATTTCAGGCAGAGGAACCAGGAAATGCAAAGCTCTTGAACTGGAAACAGATTTGGTCATGTTTTAAAAAAGAAAAACAGCATGACTGGAGTTCAGAAATGGCATTAGTTTGTAGGGTGGGATGAGGTCAGGAGTGAGCAAGGCTTAATCATGTAGGACCTTTGGGCCACTGCAGGCAGTTTGGATGATGATTCTCATATAGTAGCAAGTTCTGGTAGAGTTGTAAGCAGGGGAGTGACTTTACCTGATACATGTTTTTATTTTATTTTTTTAAGGCTAATTACTTCCATCTTGGCTTTGGGCTCACATATCTGGATAGTGCCCCTGCCACCACTTAGCTATGTGACCTTGAGTCAATTACCTTACCTCTCTGAACTTTAGTTCTTTCTTCTGCAAAATGAGGTTAACAATACCTAACTTATACGACTATATTGAGTAATAAAACAAATGAAAATCATTGGTGAAGTCCCTAGCATTGTATTCATATAAAATGGCTACTCAAAAAAAAAAAAAAAAGAGGTTGTTTACTCCCTAAATTCCTCCCTTCCCAAAAATGTGGGTAGTTAAATGATTAAGTGAATTTGTGAATGAGCATGTTACTCAACTAATGAACAAACATTTGATACTTGACGAGATGGATAAATTCAACAGATGGTTGTTGAGACACTGTGATAGACACTGGCAATATATAGAAGGGTAACAGAAGTTCCTTTTCCTCAAAAAAGAAACAGATGACATCAGATACAAATCTGTAGAAAAATGATTCCAGTTCAGGGTAATGTTATAAATAGGCTTTTACAAAATTCCATAGGGGTGAAAGAATACAGTATTCTCTCCAGCCTGGGGAGTGTAATGCTGCAGTATAACTACATAGACCTCTGGGGAGTATAAACAGATGTTGCTGAGAGATGATGGGTAAATGGAGCTAAATGAGACTTCTTTCTCTTCCCAGAGAGAGCGATTATTTTACCCATGGCTGATTATGTCATTTTTCTTGTCTGTAATTTTGCTGTTTACATGGGTGGAGACTTCAAATGAATACAATGGCTTTGACTGGTGAGTTTCACTTTTTTTTTATTTTTCATTTGTTCTTTGGTCTGATAGCCACATGGATGCTACTTCAGGCTGAAAAGATCTAGTGACATAAGAGGGAGAGTGGAAAAAAACTAGGTGTTCTACAGCTAGTGGATGGGAAGCACAACTCTGGGGAGGGGTATGGTTGCTCAGCATCCTCAGCTACTACCCTTCCACCTGTGCTCCCTCTCACACTTAGACCGAATTTGCTCAGTGAGAAGCTTTCTCTGTGCTTCCTGTGCCCCCAGTCCTATTCAGATGACTCCCTCATACCTTGCTCCTCAGCCTCTCTGTCTGGGTTACTGACACCAACACCGGTTGGTCTTCATGATCTCTGTCCATGAACCCTGATGTCTCTGCCTCACCTCCAGCCTCTGTTCTTCCTCCTCTCCTTACTGGGCTTCCTAAGACTCTGGAGACAGAAGCAGTGTCCCGTCTGATCACCTTTTCTAGCCAGATTCCTGCTCTGAACTATTCCTAGCTCTTCCAGTTTCTCTGGCCTGACTGATATATCGTATCATTACTTGGTATTTGAGGACAAAAGGGGTATCTTTTAGTATGAGGCTTTAAAAATGTGATACAGTTTACTTTCTCCTTTATAGAAGTAAAATATGTTGTTTTAAATATTAAGAAATGCAGAAAAGTAGAAAATATTATTTTATTCTTCAGTGGCAATCACTTGGTGTACTTCTCAGTCTTTTTTCCTATGCTTATTTTTATATTATTATGCTTGTACCATATACATAATTTTTCTTTTTTCCCCAATTTAAAATAGTTATACACATTTTGACAAATTATTAAAACTCTTAATGATAATCACTTTAAATGGTTTTAGAGTCTTTCATGACATGAAGATACTGTAGTGCACTTGCATGCTCAGTCGCTTTAGTTGTGTCCAACTCTAGGCGACCCCATAGATTGTGGTTCACCAGGCTCCTCTGTCTATCGGATTCTCCAGGCAAGAATGCTGAAATCTCCTGGAGAAAGAAATTCTCCAGGGGACCTTCCCAACCCAAGTCTCTTGCATCTCCTGCATTGCAGGCAGATTCTTTACCCACTGAGCCAACTGGGAAGGAGGTAGTGCACTTACTTATTTTTTATTGTTAAGCATTATTAGTATTTCCAGTTTTTCTGTTTTTATAGAATATGAGTGTAGAGAAATCTTTGTATTCTGACTTAAGAGTCTTAGAGGAGATTCCCACAAGTGGCATTATTCAGTCAAGAAGAATAAAACACTAGTAAAATTCATTATGCCTGTTACTAAAGTATTTCTCAAAAGGTAGTAGTTTCCATTCACAATAAAGGTTTTAACTTTCTACTTTAGCCTTCCATTGACAGCATTGACTATTCTAATTTTTAGATGAAATTTATTTTTATTTAATTTAATTATTTACCAGATATTGAAACTGGTTTCTTTAGTAATTTATTTTCTTTTTGGTTTTCTCCCTTTATCTTGTGGGATTTAGTTTTCTCATTTATATGCATTCTTTATTTATGGATCAGTTTTAAAGTTCTCCACAATATTGAAAATAAGAAATGTTTCACTTCTTTATAAACTTCTACCTAGATTTAGAGAACTTTATATTGAGATGTAATTGAAATACAATATTACATTTTTTTAGTTATAGCATAATGATTTGCTATTTCTATATATTGTGGAATGATCTCCGCAGTAAGTCTGGTTAAAATTCTACATCACACATAGTTTCAATTTTTGTGTGTGATGAGAATTTTTAAGAAATATTCTCTTAGCAACTTTCAAATATACAATACTGTATTATTAACTATAGTCACCATGCTGTATGCATTTTATCCCCAGGACATGTTTATTCTATAACTAGACGTTTATACCTTTTTATCCATTTTCACCATTTGTCCACCTCTCACCCCTCTCCTCTGGTAATCACCAATCTGTTTTCTGTGTCTATGAGTTTGGTTGGTTGGTTTTCATTTTTCATGTATAAATGAAGTCATATGGTATTTATCTTTCTCTGTCTGACTGATTTTACTTAGCATAATGCTGTCAGGGTTCATTTATGTTGTCATAAATGGCATTTTTCATTTTTTATATAGTTGAATGATACTCCCCTGTATGTATATACCACATTTTTATTAAGTCATCAGTGGACACTAAGGTTGTTTTCTTGTCTTGGCTATTGTAAACAGTAGACTTTTTGATAAGGGCCATTTTGATTGGCATGAAGTGATACCTCGTAATTTTAACTTTCATTTCTCTAATAACAGTGTTGAGCAACTTTTTCATATGCTTGTTGACCATCTCTATGTTTTCTTTGGAGAAATGTCTATTTAGGTCTTCTGCCCAACTTTTTATATTTCATTGCTTGTTTGCTGTTGAGATGCATGAGTTGTTTGTATATTTTAGAGATTAATCCCTTGTCAATCACATAATTTACAAATATTTTCTCCCCTTCCGTGTGTTGTCTTTTCACTTTGTTAATAGTTTCCTTTGTTATGCAGATGCTTTTGAGCTTAAGTAGGTCCCATTTGCTTATTTTTTCCTGTTACTCTAGGAGATGTATCAAAAAGGTAGTGCTACAATTTACGTGAAAGAGTGCTCTTCCTATGTTTTCCTCTAAGAATCTTATAATATCTATTCTTACTTTTAGATTGTTAATCCATTGTTACTTTATTTTTGTGTATGATGTTAAAGAGTGTTCTAATTTAATCCTTTTAAAAGTAGCTGTCCAGTTTTCTCAGAATCATTTATCGAGGAGACTGTATTTTCTTCTTTGTATATTCTTGCCTATTTCTTCATACATCAGTTGATCATAGGTGTTTTGAGTTTTGGGTTTCCCAGGTGATACTAGTGGTAAAGAACCTGCCCGTCAGTGCAGGAGACCTAAAAGATGTAGGTTCAGTCCCTGGATTGGGAAGATCCTGTGGAGGAGGACACAGCAACCCAATCCAGTATTCTTGCCTGGAGGATCCCATGGACAGAAGAACCTGGCTGGCTACAGTTCATAGGGTCACAAAAAGAGTCAGACATGACTTAGCACGTGTGAGTTTACTTCTGTTTTTTCCATCCTGTTCTTTTGATCTGTATTTCTATGTGACAGTACAATACTTTGTGCCAGTACTACTTTGATTAGTGTAACTTTGTAATATAGTATGAAGTCAGGGAACCTGATTCCTCCAGCTCCATTTTTCTTTTCCAATGTTTGGTTTGGTTACTCAGGGTCTTTTGTATTTCCATACATGTTTTAAATTTTTTTGTTCTAGTTCTGTGAAAAATGGCATTCGTGTTTTCATATGGATTGTATTGAATCTGTAGATTGCCTTGGATGGTATACTCATTTTGACAATATTGATTCTGCCAATCCAAGAACATGGTACATCTTTCCATCTTCAATTTCTTTCATCAGTGTCTTATGGTTTTCAGAGTTCAGGTCTTTTGCCTCCTTAGGTAGATTTATTACTACATATTTTATTCTTTTTAATGTGATGGTAAATGGATTTGTTTCTTAAATTTCTCTTTCTGATTTTTTGTTGTTAATGTATAGGAATGTAATAGAGTTAATTTTGTACCCTACAACTGTACCAAATTCATTAATGAGCTCTAGTAGCTTTGTGGTAGCATCTTTAGGATATTCTACTTATAGTATCTTGTCATATGCAAACAGTGACAGTTTTACTTCTTTTTCAGGTTGAATTAATTTTATTTCTTTATCTTCTCTGAATGCCATGGCTAGGACTTTCAAAATTATGTTGACTGAAACTGGTGAGAGTGGACGTTCTTGTCTTGTTCCTGATCTTAGAGGAAATGCTTTCACATTTTCACTGTTGAATATGATGTTAACTGTGGATTTGTCATGTATAGCCTTTATTATATGGAGGTATGTTCCACCTATGCCCACTTCCTGGAAAGTTTTTATCATATATGGCTACTGAATTTTTGTCAAAAACTTTTCTGCATCTATTGAGATGATCTTATGGTTTTTACTCTTTAACTTGTTGATGTGGTGTATCATAGTGATTGATTTGTATATATTGAAGAATCCTTGCATCCCTGGGATAAATACCACTTGATAATGATGCATGATTCTTTTAATCTGTTGTTGGTTTCAGTTTGCTAGAATATTGTTGAGGATTTTTGCATCTATATTCATCACAGTTATTGACCTATAATTTTCTTTTCCGTGATATCCTTGTCTGGTTTTTGTACCAGGGTGTTGGTGGCCTCATAGAATAAGTTTGGGAGTATTCTTGCTTCTGCAGTTTCTTTGGAATAGTTTCATGAGGATAGATGTTAACTCTTCTCTAAACCTTTGATGGAATTTGTCCATGAAACCATTAGGTCCTAGACTTTTTTTTCTTGAAAGACCTTTGATCACACTTTACATGTCAGTATGTACTGGTCTGTTCATATTTTCTATCTCTTCCTGTTTCAGTCTTGGAAGGTTGTACCTTTCTAAGAATTTATCCATTTCTTCCAAGTTGTCCATTTGGGGGGGCGCGTATAGTTGCTTATAATAGTCTCATATGATCCTGTGTATTTCTGTGGTGTCTGTTGTAACCTCTTATTTTTCATTTGTAATGTGAATGATTTGAGTCCTCTCCCATTTTTCTTGATGAATCTAGCCAAATGTTTATAATTTTGTTTATCTTTTCAAGGAATCAGCTTCTAGTTTCATTGATCTTTGCTGTTGTTTTCTTTGTTTCTATTTCATTTATTTCTATTTTATTCTTTATGATTTCTTTCCTTTTACTAATTTCATGTTTTCTTATTCTTTAGTTATTTTTTGTACAAGGTTAGGTTGTTTATTTGTGATTTTTCTTGTTTCCTGAGGTAAGATTATATTGAGATACACTTTCCTGGTAGAATAGCTTTTGCTGCATCTCAGGTTCTGGGTCATTAGGTTTTCATTGTCATTTGTCTCTAGGATTTTTTTTTATTACTTCTTTAATTACTTCAGTGCTTAATTGGTTGTTTAGTAGTATACTATTTAGCCTCTAAGTGTTTTTGTTTTTTATACGTTTTTCATGTAGTTTACTTTTCATCTCATAGATTTGTGCTTGGAAAGGATGCTTTATATTATTTCAGTTTTCTTAAGTTTACCAAGTCTTGCTTTGTGGTCCAGCATGTGGTCAGTCATGGAGAATGTTCCATGTGTATTTGAGAAGAATTTGTGTTCTGCTGCTTCTGGATGGAGTGCTTTATAAATAGCTTCTCAGGTGGCACAGTGGTAAAAAATCTGCCTGCCAAAGCAAGAGACACAGGTTCAATCCCTGGGTGGGAAGATCCCCTGGAGTAGGAAATGGCAACTCCCTCCAGTATTCTTACCTGGAAAATTCCATGGTCAGAGGAGCCTAGCAGATTACAGACCATGGGCTCACAAAGACTTGACCACAACAGCACACACTTTATAAATATCAACTAAGTGTATCTGGTCTAATGTGTTACATAAGGCTTGTGTTTGCTTATTGATCTTTTGTCTGGATGATCTGTCCATTGATATAACTGGGGTGTTAATATCCTCCACAATTATTGTGTTACTATTGATTTGTCCATTTGTGGCCATTAATATTTGCCTTAGATATCGGGGTGCTCCTATGTTAGGTGTATATATAATTACAGTTGTTATAATAGCTTCATCTTGGATTGATCCCTTGATCACTGTGTAGTGTTCTTCTTTGTCCGTGTAACAGTCTTTATGTTAAGGTCTATTTTGCCTAATGTGAGTATTGCTACTCCAACTTTCTTTAGATTTCCATTTGCATGGAATATTTTTTCTATCTCCTCACTTTCAGTCTGAATGTGTTCCTAGATATGAAGTGGGTTTCTCATAGACAGCATGTATATGGGTCTTTTATGTATCCATTCAGCTAGTGTATGTCTTTTGATTGGAGCATTTAATATATTTATATTTAAGTTAATTATCAATATGTATGCTTCTACTGCTATTTTCTTAATTGTTTTGGATTTGTTTTTCTAGGTCTTTTTTCTTTCCTTCCTCTTTTGTTCTACTTTCTTATGGTTTGATGAGTAAGTTTATAGTGTTGTGTTTGGATTCCTTGTGTGTATGTGTGTGTGTGTGTGCACATGCACACATCTAATTAGTTTTTCGTTGTGCTGTTTTCATGAGATTTTGATACAGTAGTCTGTATATGTATAAGGTTGTTTTAAGTTGCTGGTCTTTTTCTTGCCTAGAGGAGTTCTATTAGCATTTGCTAGTCTAATGGTGCTGAATTCTCTTGGCTTTTGCTTGACTATAAAACTTTTGATTTCTCCGTCAATTCTGAATGAGAGCCTTGCTGTGTAGAGTATTTTTGGTTGTAGGTTATTCCCTTTAATCACTTTGAATTTTTTGTGCCACTCCCTTCTGGCCTGCAGAGTTTCTGCTGAGCAATCAACTAATAACATTCTGGGGATTCCCTTGTATGTAACTGGTTGCTTTTGCCTCATTGCTTTTGATGTTTTTTCTTTGTCTTTAATTTTTGTGAATTTGATTACTATGTGTCTTGTCATGCTCATCCTTGGGTTTATCCTGCCTGGGTTTCTCCATTTCCTGGACTTTAGTGACTGTTTTCTTTCCCATGTTAGGGATGTTTTCAACTATTATCCTTCAAATAATTTTTCAATTCCTTTCTGTCTCTCTGCTCCTTCTGGGACCCCTATCATGTGAATGTTGGTGCATTTAATGTTGTCTCAGAGGTCTCTTAGACTGTATTCATTTCTTTTCATTCTTTTATCTTCTGTTCTGCAACAGTGATTTCCACCACTGTGTCTTCCAGATCACTTATCCATTCTTTTGCCTCACTTATTTTGCTATTGATTCCTTCTAGTGTATTTTTCATTTCAGCTATTGTTAATCTATGTGTGTGTGTTCTTTAGTTCTTCTTGGTCTTTATTAAACAGTTCTTACATCTTTGCAATCCTTGCCTCCATTCTTTTTCTGAATCCTGGATCATCTTCACTGTCAGTATTCTTAACTCTTTTTCTGAAAGCTTGCCTCTGTCCACTTCACTTAGTTGTTTTTCTGGAGTTTTATCTTGTTCTTCATCTGGGACATAATCCTCTGCTATTTCAATTTTTTCTTGTTATTTTGTGATTGTGGTTTCCATTCCAAAGGCTGCAGAATTGTAGTTCTTCTTGTTTCTGCTGTCTGCCCCTCTGGTGGGTGATGCTATCTATGAGGTTTGTGCAATTATAACATTGTTTAAGAAATCAATTTATTAGCAGTTTTATCTCATAAACTACTTTAGACACAAAAAAGACCAGAGATGTTTTTAAAGGGTCCAAAGCTCTTACACAGAATATAGACATTAATATAGTTGCTTGCTGTTATGTAAGAAAACATATATGCATAAAAAGTCTGCTGAAATGGAAAATATTAGCTATGTGAAAGCAGTGAACTTACGGATGATTTTTCCTCTTTTGACATTCCAGAATTTCTATATTTTTTTACTGAGTACAAAGTTTTTGAGTATTCTAAATAGTATTCTAATTCTAATAGTATTCTAAATAGCTTTTAAAAGCCATACAACTCACACAGAACTCCATTAACGAACATTATTGTCTGTAGAACAAAGTTAAAATTTCTGAAATAAATATCCCCAAAGGGTATCTATTCCCAAATTGCTTTTCTTCTTAGCCCCTGTTTTCTTATACCTCATCTAGTCCAGTCTTATCCCTTATCCTTGACATAGATGCTACTAATATATGTATTTTAGGAATTGAAACATGTTTTTGCAGGGTTGTTTTCCTAGGTACAAGAATTTGGTTCTTTTGGTCCATTGTCTTGCTGAGTGTCCTTGGGATCCTGGCTGCCTACACAACAATGCTGGTGGTGAGTAATGTTTCCCATTTCGCCCACCCCCTTCTCAAGTAGCCTCGTGAAGTGCTCTTGTCCATGGTATGGTTCCCAATTGGTGCTGGGAGCCCTCAGATCACCCTTAGCAGAGTTTGGGTTTACATCAGCCCCTCGAATATTAGGGAGGAGGGATAGGTTGGTTGGAGGGGAAAGATTTGTGCTGTTAGAAGGTATATCTTTCTACTTTGACTCTTTGAAAAGGAGGCAGGACATCCCTTTTCTCTTCCTCTGTTTCATGGCTTATTTTCTGGTTCACTCAGTATTGTCATTTTAGATGCTTGCACCTTCACATGGCAGTACTTTTACACATTTAACTATTCATTTCATAGTGCATCTCCTGAGAATCAGTCTTTCTGGGCCTTACAAATTATCTAGTGTGTTACACCTGTTATACTGTGCAAGTGCTAGTCCCCTAGTCCAGGTGCAAAGTACATTTATTTTAGCAAGTATCTTTACACAGTAGAGACCCTGCCTATTTCCTGACACAGTAGTATCTGTAGTGTGAGAAATTCACACCAGACATAGTAGTGCCATGTAGTATGAGAAACTGAGGCCAAGCAATAGAGGAATCTGTAGAAGTGGAATATTTATGGGAGACTAACGTTTAGGTTACTGGAGTTTTTCGGTACCCACTTACACATAGGACGTATATATCTTTCTTTGATTTCATAATTTCTCATCCCCACTGATTTCTTGTCTGACACTAAAAAACCCAACTCCCAAATCAGTTGACATTTGCATTAACTTTTCTTTCAGCAAAATATATTGATTATTGTATGAGTCATAAGTACTGAGGTTACAGAGACCAAAGACATGCAGTTTCTGTTTTTATTCAGGGCACTTCAAAGACAGAGGTATGAGAAATAAAGTTACAATAGTCCTTAATTCAAGGAATTTAGAATCTAGTAGGGAAGTAAGTCCTAGACAAAAATAACCAACACAGACAGAGCATTATAATTGTCATTAGAAGGCCTAAATAAAGTTCAGCCTGGGATCTGAGGAGGAAGAGGTAATTTTCAGTCAAGAGGATTAAGTGAAACTTCTTGGAGGACGTGGCAGAGGAGTGGGATCTTGAAAGGATGTTGGATTTAGACACATGTTTATGGGAGTGTGGAAGAAAGTCCAGACTGTGGCAACATCATGACAAAGTCAGTGAAACAGAGATATATGGAGTGTGACTAGATAAGAGGGAAGAATCAGTACGGTTAGCATGTAGGGGATAGTTAAGAAAAATGGGGAATATGGTTAAAACAATAGACTTGTGATAGATTTTGTAAGGCCTGAAAAGTAGGCTAATATACTTCGTATAAGTCAGATTCTAATTAGGATTATCATTTTGAAAGTCATTGCGTGAAGGATGTCTGTAGACAGAAATTAGTTAGAAACTTCTCTATTTAATGAGAAAAATGCAGATGAATGATGTATTTGGGGCAAGAATCTGGCCACCGAATTGTACTACTCTCATACATGATCAAAATAAAACTAAAATGGACTTCCACTGTCCAATAAGCCATGTGTTTTTTAATAGGCTTCTCCTCTGCCCTACATGTTTTTGGATACAGTGGCAACAAAAGAGGAGACCTAGATTCTGTTTCTGCTTTAAATTATTTTGTAACCTTGACCAAGTCACATAACTCTTCTAAGCCTCAATTTATTGGTTCAAATGAGAACTATAATAATATTTAATGATATTTTATAGGGCTTGGTAATGTACAAATAAATGGCCTGGTGACTCAGTCAGTAAAGAATCAGCTTGCAATGCAGAAGACCCGAATTTGATCCCTGGGTTAGAAACATCCCCTGGAGAAGGAAATGGCAACCCACTTCAGTATTCTCGCTTGAAACATCCCATGGATAGAGAAGACTGGTGGCTACAGTCCGTGGGGTCACAAGAGTTGTGCACAACTTAACAACTAAACCACCACCAAAGTACAAATAAAATCATATCCATAAAATTATTTTGATAAAAAGGTGAGTGCCTTATGCATTCAAACTCTCCTTAATAACCTGAGAATCTGAAGACTCCAGTTTTCAGTCTGTGTCTTCACAATGACTTGGTGATTACATAGATTTAGATTCAAACCTAATTGAGGTTTATTGACTAATACCAATGTTAACAGCAGTGGTTAACAGTTGTAACAGTGGTACTGGTTCCTCAAAGAAGAGCTTTTAAAAAAAAAAAAAAAAAACTATTTATTTGGCTGTCTTTGGGTCTTGGTTGCATAGTTCGAGGTCTTTCATTGATGTGTATAGACACTGTAGCTGTGGCATATGGGTTAAGTTGCTCCTCTGCATGTGGGATCTTAGTTCCCCAACCAGAGATCAAATGCTTGCATCACAAGGTAGAGTCTTAACCACTGAACCACCAAGAAAGTCCCCAAAAAGAGCTTTTAAATGACCCTTGGAAGGGCTGGCCCATGACCTCTGTTCTCTCACTAGTGTCTCTACCTAATACCAGGAATAAGCTCCATCACAGGGAAAAGAAAATTGGTAGAAACTCAGGAAGGATATCAGTGTAGTGATTGTTACAAAATCCCAGCGAAGATAGTAAATTCTCTCTGGGTTGCTGGTGAAAGTTACAGCTAGGAAGTAACATGTGAACTGTGTTTGATGGGTCCATGGCATGGGGAGGGAGAGCTTTTTAGTCAGAGGACTAACATGGCAAACTCTTAGATGATGAAAAGAGCAGGTGTAGCAAAGAGTGAATGTAATGCCAGACTGTGAAAGGAATTTTGAGTTCAGTTTTGGGTAGCCTCTTGGTTTTTTCTTTCTTTGTTTTTTTTCAGGTACTTGGATTTTTGTTGTGTTGGGAAAAAAATGAACTATACCTGCACTGGTATCATAAGGTAGGACATCTGAATCTTCATAGGAGACCTGAGACAAGGACTGAATGTGCCTCTTTGGCACTAAGTGTTAAATACAGAGCTTCCCTTTCTTTGTCTCCCTTGGAAACAAGAGACCTGCTTACACTGTTTCAACTGAAATCATTCAGTTTCTAACAGGTGGAACTGACTTCCTGACCAAGCTGAACCCAAACTTTATTTTTTCTCACTACTTCTTGTTAAACTGATTTTGTTCTTCCCATTCCCATAAAATCCTGTGCAGACTCCATTATTTTCCCAGTCCTTTATAGTCACAGAACTTTCTTTTTTCAGTCATTAAGAATTTTAGTTTATTATAGTAGACCGAGCTTTCCTGATGGCTCAGCGGTAAAGAATTCTGCAATGCAGGAGACACAGGAGATGCAGGTTCAATTTCTAGGTCAAGAAGATCCCCTGGAGGAGGGCATGGCAACTCACTCCAGTATTCTTGCCTGAAGAATCCCCATGGACAGAAGAGCCTGGTGGACTATAGTCCATGGGGTCACAAAGAGTCGGACCCTGTTGTAACCTAGATGGGAAGGAAATCCCAAAAAGTGGGGATATGTGTATACATACAGCTGATTCCCTTTGCTGTACAATAGAAACTAACACAGCATTGTAAAACAACTATATTGTAATAAAATTTTTAAAAAATAAATAAATTTAAAAATAAAATTTTATTAGCAGTAACAAAGGATCCATATCTGGTCTGAGGAAACAAGTATCACTGACCCAACATTTGAAGACATGCAGCTCATTTCCAAAACTGCCTCCCTCATTTTGTTCTGCCATGGGCTTGAGCATCTCTAACACAGCCCCTTGCTATTTATAGGCTTTCAGGTATGACTTTGATATCGTTCCTTGTATTTCCTCAAATCCAGGAACATGTCAAACTCTGAGTGGTCTCCTTAAATTTCCTTTTACTCAAAAGAGAAGGATGAGCTGAAAATACAATTTAACAGTTAGAATGAATGGAAATGGAAATTGCAAGATCATACAGGGAAACAGGAAGAGTGAACATATAGGCCTTACTGAGATCCGGTTTTGGAGTTGGGACACCATGAGCAGTTAGTCACTACCAAGAAAACCTATGGGTTAAACCACTCTAATTACTATTCCAGGCTTGTGTCTATTGTAGAAACCATGCTTACGTTGCCTCTGTCAGTGAGTGCTGCTACTTGGCCTCCGCCTAGCAAAATCTCATCATTGCCTTTGAACTCAGGAAGCCAATTTCAATGGCAGCACTTCTCACCTTTATCCAGGCATAAAGGATGGCCACTACAGTGCTTTTCAAGGATGCTGACACTTTCCTCACCAATGTGTTTTTCAGTGTCCTCTGAGATCTCCTATAGAGCATGATATATAGAGTGGCTTAGCTCATCGTAGGTGATGTTAACATCATTCCAGTAACCTTTTCTCAATAAATCATTGGATTCTTTCTTCCACATTACACCAAGAAATTGCTGGTGTCCCAATTTTATAAAGCATGGGCTACTATTGACTGAAACTCCAGTACTTTGGCCACCTGATGCGAAGAGCTGACTCATTTGAAAAGACCCTGATGCTGGGAAAGATTGAGGGCAGGAGGAGAAGGGGACAACAGAGGATTAGATGTTTGGATGGCATCATCAGCTCAACGGACTTGAGTTTGGGTAAACTACAGAAGTTGGTGATGGACAGGGAGGCCTGGTGTGCTGCAGTTCATGGTGTCACAAAGAGTTGGACATGACTGAGCAACTGAACTGAACTGAACTATTGAGCCAAGGTTTCAGATACACAAACAGAACCACTCTGAGATTCATAATGCCTGGATGCTGATACATTGAATTTAGAATCTCTGGTAAGTATACATATATCAATAAATTCAGCCTGATTTAATATTACTTTATTTTCTCCTTGTCTAGCATACTTAATATTACATTTTTTTTTCCTTGGCAAACATCCTCAGAATCAATTCTGACACATATTCTACAGGATTTTTGTTAATAAATTTAACAAAGCCATCATCTCTTCAGGTATTCTGTGATCTAATTCCAGTTACAAATGCATAACCAATGAGAAGTGGTGGAGCTGGTTATTAGAGGAGTTGGAATACCCTTGGAAGATGGCTAATTTGTGTGGACCTTTAAACCCCTGGCCTTTAAGTCTCCCTGGCAACGGAGTTTCTTTAGGGCTTGAAATTTCAGTGTGAAAAGAGTAAACCTGGAAGGAAAGGATTAGCAATCAGCCCTATAGTACATTCCCTTCTACTTAAATGTGCTCAGAGAACAATGAATGACCTCAATTAAAACTCTTTATTTTAAAAAATCTATATGTAACTAATAACCCAACCTCCTAATAAACATACTAAAGATATTAGCCAAAAGATAGTGGAGAGTCCTTATCTATGGAAATTTCTAGGAGGATCTAAATTGGTATATCTAGGTTGCTTACAATAAATAAACTTACCTGGAATTTATAGATTTGTAAGGTGGGAGGCATGGCTGGCTGAAGTTGTACAGTTAACAAAATATAGTTTTTAAAAAATGATGCACCATAACCCAAAAGATAACTTCTGTGGAGAAATGTTTTCACATACTTTGCCCAAAACACACCTCACAGTTTGGGTCCCAGACCAGAATACATTGTAATGTAGGAAAGACCTTTTTATGAATAGCTACTTTTGACAGATTTCCAAGGGAAACCATTTTATCTGTACCTTATAATTGCCTTAAATCATTAGAAAAGCTTTGTGTTGAATAAAATCACAGAATTACATGAGATTCAAGTGAGTCTCATATGTCTATTAAAGTTTGTATTGTGATGCATTTGGTTTGCTAATAAGTTATTTAAGATTTAATATCTATATAGATCTATGTATAGAAGAGTTTAGAGTGTCATTTTTGTTTCCTGTAATGTCCTTGTTGAGTGTGGATATCAGTGTTTTTGTTGGCTTCAAAAAACAAGTTAAGAGAAAATTCCTTCTTTATTCTTTGGAAGGGTTTTTTTAAAGTTGAAATATTTCTTCCTTAAATGTTTGAAAAATTAACCCTGAGGGCAGCAAGGCCTGGAGTTTCTTTTAAGAGGTTTAATTACAGATTCAGTTACTTTCATAGATAAAGAATTATGGAGGAGTGGAAACCAAGCACTGTCTAGAGGGCTACATACATACAGAAAACTATCCATTTGAAGGGAAGCAGTTAAAGTTATGTATTCTTGGTCTCAATGTTCATTTCCTATGACTAAATATAGTTTTCTGGACAGCAGGTTTTTTTCATCTGTTCACCAAATATTTATAGAAAGTTTATTATGTGTCAGACATTCTAAAGACAATAAATAAATAATCATGAACATTATCCCTGATGTCATGAAGCTTATAGTCTATTTGGGAAAGCATACATTGAACAAAATACTGTTTGCCTGAGATTGTATTGAGTCGTATTTTTAAAAAGCAAATATTTGTAATGGGTACTGTTGAAACTGAATGAGGCATGCTAAGCATTGAGGGCCAAGCTGACATGGAGATAATAAAACAGTAAAGGAATCAGACCACATAGCTGTGTAGGTTTGTGTGGTTTTTTTTTTTTTTTTTCCAGCCATGGTGCACAAAAAAGACTTCACAGCAAAGAAGGTGGATTATTAGACCCATGGACTATTAAAGAATGGCTAGATTAAAAAAGATGAGGAAATGAGGTCCCTGAAACTGTGAGTACATGCATGGCAATCCACTCCAGTATTCTTGGCTGGAGAATCCCGTGGACAGAGGAGACTGGCAGGCTACAATTCGTAGGGTTGCAAAGAGTCGGACACAACTGAAGTGACTTATCACACACTCATGCACATTTCCCAAGGACAGTTCTGATCCAAGCTTAGTGTCCGGAAGTCAAAGTGAAAGTTGCTCAGTTGTGTCCAACTCATTGCGATCCCATGGACTATATAGTCCATGGAGTTCTCCAGGCCAGAATACGGGAATGGGTAGCCTTTTCCCTTCTCCAGAGGATCTTCCAAACCCAGGGATCGAACCGAGGTGTCCTGCATTATGGGCAGATTCTTTACCAGCTGAGCCACAAGGAAAGCCCAAGAAAAGTGGGTAGCCTGTCCCTTCTCCAGCGGATCTTCCCAACCCAGGAATCAAACCAGGATCTCCTTCATTGCATGCAGATTAACAGCTGAGCTATCCGGAAAGCCCCGAAGAAGTCAATATATTCATTTTATTTCCCTAGATCATGGTTCTGATAGTGATTATGTTATGCTCGTTTTTGATGTGGATTCTATTAACTTTTTGGAGAGAGAGATGGCTCACCATTGGGCTGTCACTGAAGGTAAGCACCATCCTTAGTTGTAGCCCTGTCTGTCCAGATGTGTTCAGCCTGACTTTTGGCTTTCTCTCAGGTCTTTGCTCCCTACATACACCTGAGCAGCATATCTGCAATGGTTTTGCTTTCCTGGCCTGTGGCCTTCTACTTGATCCATTTGGAAGGAGAAGGTATGTCCTAAGGGTGGAACCTTCCCTGATTCTTCCAGCTCTGACTTTAGCTAGTGTACTTCACTCAGCCAAACAAGGTTGGTAGATAGCCAGCACTGTAGCTTTTTGAAATTAATTTAGCTTGTTATTCAGGCATGCTTCTTCTGGTCAAACTCACAGCCCTACATGGCCTGTTATAGCATTTCTCTGATCAAACAGACCCTCTTCTAGAAAGGGATTCTCCTTCTAGAAAAATAAGAATTTTCTCTCTGTTGTTACACACTGACTGTCTAGGAACAGACTGAAGTAGTTGTGGGCAGGGTAGAGGGAATTTTAATTTCATTTGACCAGTGATGGTACAAGTCAGAGTTCTTTTAGTTTATATTCAAATATTACTATTTTCAACTCAAGAACCAAGTGCAGATATCCCCTGGACACATCTTAGTACTTCAATACAGTCCCCAGTGAAATACCATGGAAACAAAAAGAGTCAAGAGCTATATATGAAACTATTTTGAGAATGGAGTTCTCTCTCAGCACCCTTACTGAGAAACCAGGAGGACCTTCTTCTATGTCTTTTTTTTTTTTTTACTGCTGGTTAAACAGGGAGTGCCTGCTTCCTGACATGTAAGGATGCAAGAAAGAGAAAAACTCGATTGGTAGTGTTGTCATTGAGTGTACACGTGTATATATATATGTGACCAGTGGGTTTTAGGAAATGTTTCTGGGGGCAAGAACTTAAAGGGGACAGTAATGACTCTCTTGTTTTTCATTTCCTGAATTTTAGCTAGAATGAGAAGATACCAGAATACAAGTAGTGAAAGAAGAAGAAACAAGTGGTGTAATATGCTCACAAAGTTGAGAGGTTAGAGCTGGCAGATCTAGATTTGAAAGCAACATAGGTGGTAATTTTAAAATGTACAGATGGGTAAAATCCTCCAAGGTCTAAAACAGTAAGTGTTGGGGAATGGCCAGTGATAACAGGTATTATGGTCAGGCTGTGTGTGTGTGTCTGTGTCTGTGTGTGTATTTAAGAGATGAATGAGGAGAGAGAGAGAAGTGTCTACTATTTATTGAGAACCTGTGATGAGTCAACACTGTCATATCAATTACATGAGATAGATGTTAGTAGCAAAATAGTTCCATTTTTCAGAATGAGAAAAGTGAAGATCTGAAGAGGTTAAACAACATGTCTAAGTCACAAAATTAGAAACTAGTAGTCTCACTTTGAACTTGGATTTCTTTCAACTAGTATCCCTTCTACTATCCCTCACTGCCTTCAGTACAGGGGCATTTTAGTCTGATCCTTAAGGGCTTGAGGACTTTCTCAGAACCAACCAAACTACTCCTCCTTCTGAGAAGCTATTCCTTAACATTCCCTCTCCTTCTACCTCCTATAAAACTCATTCCCTTGTAAATCTGCATTTGCAATAATTTTGACTTAACAACACTTTTTATTTGAATAGTTCTTTACTTTCAAATCACTGAAAGAATATGGGGATATGACAGAAATTGAGAGTAAATCAGTGAGTCCACAGATTCAATGAACCCACGCACTAGGTATTTACTGACTGTTGTTTTGGGGATAGTTATTTGCTTGGGATGGTTCTCCATTCCTCTTTTCTTTTTTGTCACTTTCTCCTTCCAACTTTTTCAGTTCTACAAGTGGTTATTGGATTGCCCTTCCTTCTTATCCTTTTATGTCTCTATGTGGTGCCATTTGGGACTTATTCTCCCTGTGTTCAGGAAAAGGATAAATTAGCACCCAAGCCGAACTTCTTTGGTCATAGAGGTGCAGCCATGGTAGGTCCGAGCATGATGGATGTGGGTGAGTACAGATGTGCTTGGGTGTGGATGAGACAATGGCACATCAGATCCAGGAGCCCCTGGAGAAGTGAAGAGTTTGGCTTGAGATGACAGAAATAAGTAGTTAAGTGTAGAGGTTGGACTTGAACCCAGGTCACCTAATTCTCAGTCTTTTTTCTCTTTATTGTGCCCAGTGACATTGCCTCAGATGAGCCAAGTCCCCAAATCAGGTTTGGTAGAGTAGAATGTAGGCAGATTCTTGGAGAAAGAGCCAAGGGAACCAAACTCTGCTTCCTAGTCTTTTCATTACTGGGTCCCCTCCCTACCCTACAAGGGATGTTGGCAGAAAAGACTGTGAGATTAAAGGCCTGATGTCCTTTTCTTACACAGCTGGGACCTGAGAATACCATAATGTCCTTTGAGAAAGCTGTTGAACACGGGGCCGATGGACTGGAGAGTGATGTGCAAATAAGGTAGGAAAGAAGGGAGGGGCCAGGGTGGGAGGAGAAAAGACCAATGCCATGGACGACTCCAGCCTGGCCCAGGCTGTAGAGAGAGCAAGCCCCTGGGAGTTTCTCCCGTGTTCACATGGGACATCTGCCCATGACACACATACATGAACTACTTCTCCTTTACAAACCACATATCTGCAACCCCTGCATTCTCAATCACAGGCTCATAGATCACTCTTTATAGTCTCCACACATAGCTCAAATTTATACCCCCTACAAACATGCTTATAACTCATTCCCATGCCCTCCCTCAGCAATCTATTTAATTAACATTCCCTGGGTACCTACCACATTCCTATTATATCCTTCTTTTGAGTGCTAGGGAGAGGCAGATGAGTGAAATATAGTCCTGCCTAAGAGCTGTTCCCAACCAGTGAAGGAGATGGGGCATGTTTACAAATAAACACAGTACAGGACCGTGTGTGGTGAGGGCCTTCCAGAAAAGAGTAAGGCAAATGCAGTGGAACCTCAGTGGAGGAGGATGAGTCTCCCTCCTACTCTGTGAAAAATTATCTTTGTGCTCAGAACTGTGTTTGTGTTGAGCCTTGAAGGAAAAATAGTATTTTCCCAAGCAGAGATGGGGAATCTTGGCAGAGGCCATAGCTTAGCCAAAGGCATCCCAATGAGAAATAACAAATTTGTGGATCAGTGTGCTAGTCTATATGAATGCCAAGTGTAATTCACTTCGGGGACATGAGATGGCTATGTGAGGGGGAGGTATAGTTGCAAGACTTACTGAGACTGGATCACGGAGATCCCTAAATGTGTAATGAACACCCATGCTAGGCTTTAAAGAAAGATCAGTTTATTGTTTTAGGAAGACTCATCTGAGAATTTGTGAGAGAAAATTGTGAGGGAGATGGGCAGTAGGCTTTAGCATTGTCCAAGGGAAAATGAAGACCTGTATCACAGGAAGACGTGGATCACAGCAGGGACGAGGACAAAGAGACATGCTTTTTTGTAGAATGTGTGTGCTTGGGCGGCCGGAAGTACAGATGAACTGCTGGAGGCTGTTTCAGTGAATGTGGCGTTCTCTGCTCCCTTCCCGCCTCCCTGGTGGCTCGGACAGTAAGACAGCTGCCTGCAACGTGGGAGGCCCGGGTCTGATCCCTGGGGCAGGAAGATCCCCTGGAGAAGGGAGTGGCAAGCCTCTCAAGTATTCCTTCCTGGAGAATTTCGTGGACAGAGGAGCCTGCTGGGCTACAGTCCATGGGGTCACAAAGAGTCAGACACAACTGAGCTACTAACACACACACACACACACACACACACACACACACCCTTCCTTCCCAGCCTTCAGTGAGCCAAACAGGAAAGAAATGAACATCTTATTTCACAATGGAGAACTGTGGTTTGAACCTGAATTCAAAGAAAAGAAATGTATTGCTGAGGGTATAAGGCTATGTACATGATAAAGCCAGGATTAGAACTAGATTTCCTGATCCCAGACTAGGGTTCTTGACATTACCTAACAGTGGTGTTACTCAGCTGTTTCTTGCAGGATATTTTAAGCAGAATTGAAACTGGATGTTCTTTCAGAGCTTCTGGGCTTGTTGTGTAAGTGCCTAGAGGTCATGGCCTAATGTGGTCATGATGCTGAGCCAATGAGCTCCTGCCACATTGTCTTTCTCTCTTATCTTACTTGTGACTTCAACTTCAGTGTAGATGACCCTTCCAGCCCTTCAGTTTCTCTGTGTCTCGATGTCTTCATTTCCCATTACCACTTCCTCCACATACCTCCACATTGGTGGTCATAATCTAGACTTCATCACTAATAAAAATTGCTTATCAGCCATAGTCTAGCCAGAACAGGAATACCACAGCAGTAACTAGAACAGGAAAATGTAATATCATGAATTACTGAGTAGTAAAATGGGGAAACAGTGGAAATAGCAAGAGACTTTATTTTGGGGCGGGGGGGCTCCAGAATCACTGCAGTTGGTAATGCAGCCATGAAATTAAAATATGCTTACTCCTTGGAAGGAAAGTTATGACCAACTTAGACAGCATATTAGAAAGCAGAGACATTACTTTGCCAACAAAGGTCCGTCTAGTCAAGGCCATGGTTTTTCCAGTTATCATGTATGGATGTGAGAGTTGGACCATAAAGAAAGCTGAGTGCCAAAGAATTGATGCTTTTGAACTGTGGTGTTGGAGAAGACTCTTGAGAGTCCCTTGGACTGCAAGGAGATC